AGAAATGTGCATTAATAATTATTATCAAAGACCATTACCTTACACGCGTGAAACATGATCGTTGCACCGATTAATAATTTTCGTAGCGCTCTTCACATTCACAATTTCTCTGTAATTATACTAATGAACTCCGCCTCCGCAATGTAATTTCTGCTCGCGACGCGTGTAATCCCCCCACATTACGTATCATAATCTGTCTAAACTACGTGTTTTAACTATTGATACGGTCTGTAGAGTTTCAATTGTTTCGGGCGAAAAACAACGAGATATATTCTTGCATCCTTTCCAAGGAGAGGAGATTTTTCAATTTTCATTGTGGCATTCTTGAAAACTCTCGACGGAAAACGACCGAGAGCCCGATCACCGCCCCTTCAGATTCAAAAATTCAAAGATTCAACTCGCTGCGAAATGCGCGAAAGAACTCACCGGGGAAGAGCACGGGTCCTCTCTTGGCCAGCCAGGGAAGAGCGTACGGCGAGAAGGGGAAGCCGGGGGTTTTAGCGGCTGCGACAGCGGCGGCCTGTTGATGCTGATGCCACACGTAGTCCATGACCAAGCTTCTGGACAACGGCAGGGGCAGTTCCGGGAACGGCGGGACTCGCGGATGCGTCGGCGACGGGACGAGGCTCGGTATCTGCGTCGTCGGCGACGATCTCGGCTGTTTCGCCGGATTCGGCGACTCTCTGGACGCCGGATTGTTGTTGAGCAATCGTTTCCTGGTGCCGCCGTTGAACATGGCCTTCACGTCCTCCCACGCGTGCACCACCTCGTCCGGTGGATTCCCGGACAGTTTCATGTGACGACGCCAAGAGTTGAAGTTGGCGGCGTCCGGTTGCACGTACTTGTCCGACGGGCTGATTCGATGAGAGTGGAAGATGAACTTGTTGGGCGAGAAGAAGAGGCCGCAGTAGGCGCATTTGATGCACTTTGCGCGAGAGCTGTTGTAACGAGCGGGCAGGAAGGCGCCGCGACAACCCCAGGCGCATTCGTGATGCACCGAGAACGCGAAGTCTTCCGGTAGCCTTTGCAGAAGAAAAAAGGAAGGAAGCAAGTGAAGTTGAGCGATCCCGGTGCTGTGTAAGTGAAGAGAATATTAACCGCGCCATCCGTCGAACAGAGAGACTTCTAAGATCGAACAAATTTTTTTTTCATTTCCTTTCTTTGAGAAAGTTCTCATCTCCTCCCTCCGGTTAACAGGTTAGAGAATCTCGCGTCCCGTCTCGCGAATCGATTCCTAACAATTTCTCAGGGAGACACGTAGTAGCGTGATTTAACAAAAGTGTGAGCCAACCTGGGCGGCGCGTTGTCGCCGAGGAACGATTTGCAGAGACGCTCGGCTTCCCTTCGCGTAATCATGCCGCATCTTCTGGAGGAAACGGGCATCGCGCCGGCTCGACGGAGGATTTCCAGCTGGACGGGGGTGCACTGCACGCAGGTGATGCCCAACGCTACCCTGCGATTGTGGATCTCGTTGTAGCTGTACTGTTTCAGCAACGTGTTGCTGATCTGAGCTAGACACAGCCTCTCTTGACCCTCGATCACCAAAGACACGATGTGAATTCCGTACAGGGATACGCTGCCCACCTGCAACTCCTGATGGTTTAGGCTCGCAACGCGGTTCTTCGTTGTCGAGGTTATAAAACGTGGCGAACGTAGATTCTCGTGATTAAGATGCCTCAAGTTTCTACTCGAATTTTAATCTATGGATTTAGCTACACGAACAGTCTGTATTTAACATTTTGAAAATTTGACGATATCTGGACAATATTAACGAATCAAATCCGAGATCACAGGCACGTTAGTTTCCTATCTTCTCCACCGAGACAAACAAAAATGACAATAATTCCATTGACAATAAAACCTTCTGCAATAATAATTGACAATTAATTAGCTAACACATAGGCAGAGAACACAACGTGCGAAGCGCTTTGGCTTCGGATAAACGAGAGTAATCCGTGATCGCGGAAAACGTTCACCGGGAACAATTATAAAAATAAAATCTCATAATATAAAAAAAAATACATACGATACCTGATTGGATTTCGAATGTGACTGCGGCTGCGGCGATTGTGCTGATTTTTGGGCCGCGGTTATCGGCGGCATCGATAATACCGCCGGCCCGTCCA